GTGCTCATTAGATCATTTCTAATATTATAGATATACTCATGGAAAGTGCTTTAATTGATCCATTAAGTTTTATCTTTCGTTTCTTTTTCATTTGTTTCGAGAAATTGATACCAATTCTTTCTTGTTCTCATGATAAAGAGAAAAACTTTAAGCTGCAAAATGTCTTGTAGACATAATCCATTATATTTCAAAGTTTAATACATATATGAATATTCCAAAAAGATATTTGCTACAAAAGATATTTAGCTTATTTTTTATTTCACGATCTGAAATAGTTATTAGATCCAATTCCAGAACTCTGTAATCGAATTCACAAAACGGAAAGGGGAAAACACACACATCAAGACCCTCAAACACACACACACACTTATCAGACTTTTTATTCGTGTATGGACACCGACAACGTGTTTTCGTACACAATATTAGACATTATTGTCTAGTAAAGCATACCGAACGTACCACAATACTACTCATTTGTAAGCATCGGGATTTGCGTGGAGGTAACTCTCAATAGCCTTGAACATGGCGTGTGCCCTTTCTTTCCCTTCCTTGATCTTCTCATGTGCGATTTCCTTAATTCCTTTGGTGTGGTATGTGCTTTTGGTTTTGCAGACGGATCCTCCATCAGCCGAAGCTTCTATTGTGATGTCGTACGAGATTTTCTCAAGGTCGCCGGCTTCAAGAACATCTCCTTCAATGATGCTGTAGCCGTATTTGCAGTTGGCTTCATCGATCGCGTCCACGCGGTGCTTCACGCTCTTGTATTGGCTGCCTGCATGTATAAGAATCCGATATCAAGTTCTAGTTTAGTAGAGATTCTTTAAAATTCATTTTTCTGTAAATTCGTTATCAATCGCTTACATTTTCAATTAAATAAATTTATACGTAAATTTATAATTTTTCTTTACTTTTTAATTGCACGTATAAAAAATTTAACCGCAAAATCTAAATCAAACACGCTCTAAAATCATTTTATCGATTTTTTTCTTCTTATGTGATGCTTCTGAAAAAGAAAGTATAAAAGGTAGAGTCAGAGAGGTGCTAAGGCTAATCTCATCGTAGTATTTTTCATTTCTAACAAAAGCATATCCCAAAGCGATATTTGTCATCGACAAAAAGTGACGATATCTTGTCCAGTAGGTACTTTGCATAAAGTATTGAATGATTGTTTTGGCATGATTTTTATTTTTACTTTTTATAAAAAAAAGTATTTTTGAAGAAGCTTCGACTTCCTATAAAAACACTCTAGCCAAACAAAACACAATTTTATTCAAAAATAAGTTTTGACTTTTCAAAA